GTGGCTGCACTCCCTCCAGCACCGCGCGCTCTCCCGCCGCTCGCGGCTGGACTGTGGCCGCCCGCGGCACCGACTCCAGAAGGCAACACGGCCCCGCCCAGCCCTGCGGGTGGCCCCCGCCTCATTGGAGCAGCCTCGGGCCAGCCGGGAGCCTTACCCAGACCCCAACTCCAACCCACACCCTGGGAGAGTCCTTCCAGTGCTTTTCTCTGAGGCAAAACCAGAGCCTCCTGAAGACCTGTCCACGGTGCTGAAGGGTTTGGGGCACCTGGTGGGCGACTGGGAACTTTCTTCTGAGTTCTCCCTCAACAATCTGCTTCTGCCCCTTCCCACTACAGCCCTGCCTAGGTATCCGAATGGGAAGAGTTACACATTTGTTCTCATTGGCTGTGCAACCTTGGGCAAGTTACTCAACATCTCTGTGGCTCAGTCTCCTCATTGGTAGAAAGGCCATTACAGCACCTACTTAGGATGTTGTAAAATTTTATCGAGATAATCCATGGGAAGGATTTAGCACAGGGGATTATACATAGTAAGTTCTCAAGAAATGTTTGCTGGTATTATTTCCTTCCTCTAAGCACTCACACCAATGACCTCTTTTGTATTGAGAGCCAGAGCTCAGTAAGTGGTGGCTAACAGCACTGTGCAAAGCCCTTTACCCAGGTCTTTGAACCCTCATGACTTCACCGTGTTGCAATTGCAGACACTCTGTGAGGATGCAACCCACTCTAGGTCATGCTGTAGATGGGGGGGGTGGTCACATAGATCCATCCTCCTCACACCAACTACTGCCTCCAAAGCCCCAGAAGCCAGTCCTTTCACCATAGGCAGGGGCTGCAGGTCATCTATAGCAGGACTGTGTTGCCTGCATAACTTGTTAAAAATGAAGCCCCCCTCCCCCCCCATTTCCAGCTAAATGAAGATCTCAGTAACCTCAAGTCTAAATTTCAGGCAGCCCTAAGAATCTGCGTGGATAAACAGACTCCCTGGGTGACTCAGGCCTACTCAGGCCTGAGGACAACTGCTTTCACCCCTTAAAGGCCTGTGACTAGAAGTTCCCATCTCACTGAGGAGACTATCATGGCTCAAGAGTTGAGTTACACCCCCCAAACCCCTTCTTCCTGCACAAGAAAGGACAGTGAGACCTTCCAAATATCTTCACCAAGACAGCAGCCAAATGAAAATGACAGAGAGCTGCTGTTCAAAAAGACTTTGATTTTATTTTATGTGTCAAATTGCCTATTCTCAGTGCAGGTGACCCCCTCCTCCCCAGGAAACAAGATGGATGGGAGGTGCCTTTCGAGAAGTCTTGTCCTCCACAAGGTCCCAGGGAAACCCCACACAGTTCTGAGTTGGCGGGAATCCCGGCGAAGAGTAGGGTGGGTGGGAGGCAGTGACGGAGAGGAGTGGTGGTCACCAGTCAGGAAGCCAGGGGTTGGAGAACCCTGTCCTTGGCCCTCCTCGGCTTTGGGGCTGCCATATGCATGATGCAGATGGGGGAGTGAGGACATTTCCCCCAACTTTGAAGCACCCCTTGGCCAGACATGGCTTTGATTCCACTCAGGGCTCAGGTGAGAAAGGAGCAGAAAACTGTTGTGGGTTGGCTGCTTCATAAGGTGCTGCTGCTGGTGCCCCGGAGTCCGACACCACGGACAAACTGCTCCAGTAGGCCCCCAATGGCACCAGAGGGACTGGGGGCTACTGCCCGAAGCCCCACTGTGCTGCTGTATGCAGCCAAAAAGGCTGAGCGCACCTCCTGCAGCCGAGTCTCCCGTTCACTCAGGGCTGCAAGCCTGTGGAGAGGGAGAAAGAATGCAGGCATTACCATGGGGCAGGACCCAACACCCCCATCCTCATGCCACAGTGCTTATCCTTCTGTCTTCACAGCACACGACCCACATCTGTCCTGTTGGTCACACTGCCCTATGGCTCAGGCCCCAAATATCTGATCCTGTTCCCCTCTTAAACCATTCCTCTCAGTTTTCAGGTTACTGTTCCTACCTAGAAGCAGCACCTTTTATTGGGGCACTGGCTGACTTTCTATGGGGAACAACCATCTCTGTGATAATTAGGGAGAGAGAAACCAAGCAGGAGGGAGTCTGCTCCAACAGCTGTTGGCTTTCATTCCTTAGTATAAACAAGCTGAGGTACAAGTCTTACATCTAATTGTAGGGAGAGACCCTAACATCAGGCATCAAGCAAGGACCTCAGCTTTCTTGAGGCCAGGACCTGGAGCATCCTGGGGAAAACTCTTGGCAGTGCCCTGGAGAGGCCACGGTCCTCACTGGAAACCCCCAAAATTCTAGCTACACTTTCAGTCACTGTGGCCCCAGGTAAACAACTGGGAGAGTGCTGACTTCCAGCAGTATTCCTGTTTTGATTCCATGTACTTTCCTTCTCTGGCTTCTACAGGCACTGATCATGGAAGATAAGCCCCTCTTCTCTCCCTGGCCTGGAAATACAAGTCAAGAAGAGGCTCATCAATGCGTGAATTCCACATGAGGCTGTTTGACACTTTGAAGGGTTCTTTAATAGAAAAGGCCTAAGGTACCAGCCAGACCCAACCCCTGGACTAAAAGGCAAGCAGTCTAGAGGTGGGAGGGATATGGAATCAGAGGAAAGGTCAGAAAATCAAATGGAGGGAGACAGGTAACACACCTACATAAAATGAAGCCTCATGTTCCCATCCACCTAAGTACAAAGACTAGCCCCGATTACTAACTTTCTCCAAAATTTTCCGAAAGAGACCAATCCCTGCATAATCCCTCCCAGGAATTTGTCAGAAATGCCCGCAATTCCCAAGCCCAAATGACTTGCACTCCAGGGCCTGGGGAACAGATGCAGGTATGATAACAAGTGACAGTCCTGGGTAAGTATGGGGAGAGCCAACCTCGGGAAAGTAGGCTGGTGGCAGTGAAGTGTTGTGTGTGTGTGGGGGG